AATCTTACAAACCTAATAACGTTTTCTTTTTGAATCGGGAAAGCATTTCAGAATTTCGGTTAACGTTTCATGACTTGGTACAGCCACTGCAAGCCACGGTGTAAGTGGGACAGCACATTAAGCATATCTACTTCAGCGTTCTATTGGAGCTACAAAGTAGCAGACATTAGGGAAGGCTGTTCTGATGTTGACGAACCAGGTGGAGGAGAAAGCCCAGCAGATTACGACATTTTCAGGGTAACTTGTATGGGATAGAATGCAGACATCCACGTGACTGTGAAGTTGCATGGGTGTATTAGATGCCTGAGAGGAACCGCTTTCATGAGGTACTCACTTCGTTTTGATCTCTACGTTGTTTGCACTTGGATCTGTCCTTGGCGTATCAGCCGGACAGAGCCAGGCGCTTGGAATTACTGGCAAAACCAGGTTGGGGGCAGCTGTCCTATCAATGCAGGGTTGGATAATCTGTGCATCCATCCCCGTTCGATTTAGCATTACTTCTCGTTACGTGGCTGCCTGTAGGAGGTCCAGAGCCAGCTTCTTGTGGCATGCAACCAGATCGGTGTGGAGTCACTTGCGTGTGAACTATACTACTAATTTCGGTCCTCAAAGGGTATTCCTTTTTAACTCTCCATTCGCGCGAGACCGAACCCCTTTTTGTATATCAGAACAATCTAGGGCTCTGCTAAACACTTTGCCCGTAAATGCTAACCAATGGTATCTTAGTCACACAGCTAAACTGCGGAATTTCCTTGACTCTGTCTTACTATAACTGCTACTACTGAAAATCGAACGATAGGCTGCTTAAAGCATGTTTGTCCTCCTGCAATTCAGACAGTAATTCTCAGTGCGCGCCATGGCAGCCATCATGTCTGAGTACTGTTCACCTCCAGATGACCTTGGCTGCACCTCAGCTAACTACGAGGACGAGGGACGTGGAATGCGACAGTTGCCACTGCGCCGTTTCATATCGATACCGGCGGGATAAAAACACGCGTGCAACGTGGATGCGCCGCAAACAACAAGCAGCGGTTTTCTCGCTTACATGCTTGGCAGGGCGGCAGCCGCAACTGATAGCCATCCAGCACTAAAATGCCTCGGCGGCAGCGGCGGCCGCGGCGTCGCCAGTGCTTCTGCTGAGAATGATGATGATGATGATGATGATGGTGGTGGTGGTGGTGGTGGT